TTAAATGGTCTCAATTCAAGTGAGAGGATACAGTTTCTAAACGAAAGGAGAGCTCTACAGGAAGAGAAAAAAAAAAGGAGACAACAATTTTTAATCAAGGCGTACAATGAAGGATATAAAATCTGCTACAACTGTAGTTTCTTAAATCTCATGGGAGAAAAGGAAGTATCCAGTTTAGCCAAACAGGTTTTTCTGGGATACCATTACATGATAAAGGAGCAGTTGCCTGTGCAGTTTCATTTTACTAGCTTGATGAGCAGCGACGAATTCTACACGCAGCTCAGAGACAAGTATGCACTGGGGAAGTGGCGCGTCCACATTCACTCGGAGGACTACTGGGATTTGTTCCCGAGGGAGAAGATTGTCGTTTTATCCCCCGACGCTGAGGAGGTGAGGAGCAATGGACCGGTTAAGCCGTCGTCTTCGCTGCACTGGGGGTGCTACTCCGGATCGACCACAACGAAACGAAACCAAACTATATCAAACCAAACGAAATGAAACATCCTCCCCCCCCTGTAGGAACTAACCGAAGTTCGAGACGACGAGGTGTACGTCATTTCTGCCCTGGTCGACAGGAGCGTCTCCAAGGTGATTATTGTTCCCATCGGAGGGGCCATATCACTCCTTTGAGCGGATGCATTCGCGATAGGGCACATACCCCTGGATGAGAACTTTGCAGGTCATTTCCCTGCACTCATGAGTGAACCAATTGTTGACACGCCCTTTTTTTTACTTCCCCTCGCCGCTCCTCAGAATTTGTCCTTCTCCCAGGCGTCCCTGCACAACTTAGTGACGAAGAAGTTACCCATGGAGGTAAATATCATCTCAAAAAAAAAAAGAAAATACCATTCAATCGCCGCCAAATAGGGGGCGGGGATATGTACCCCACCTCTAACCCCCAGGTGGTCCATTCAACGAGCTGGGTGGTATAATCTTCCTACGTTCTGACTTTGACATTCTATTCTTCACAACTCCATTTTTTTCCCCTCCCAACCACACAGAAATATTTTAAAAAAAGAAAAAGCAACGTCCTGAACGTTAACACTGTGGTGGAGATTTTAATCAGTTTTTTAAAAAACCAAAACTGGATGAAGGTTTTCGAGAAGTGTGTGCCACAAAAAAAAGTGCTCTGCTTCTGCTACGGCGCCTCATCGGAGGGACACAGAGATGAAGAAGCAGACGCGGATGACGGGAAAAAAACAGACCAACGGTATTTAGAGGATAACGGAAAGATGTACGTCCACCCGGATCCGTTATGAATATGTGAAGACACGACGGGGGGTGGAAGGAAAAAAAAAAAAAAAAAAAAACAGACATAGAGACATACAGGCATAGCGACATAGAGAAATAGACACATACATACGTCGGAGGCTAAGTCACATTGTCAGTTGTGACCCCTATGGGGAGAGCACACACCCGTATGTTTCATCGTAGACCTATTGCCTACGCTCGTTGGGGAGTTTCCTGTCGACATGGCAGTATACCCGATAAACACGGGGTCAATCACCAAAACAACGGCTTCCACCCACCAAGGGTCGCCAAAAAATAACGTTACATACCCCCGCAATGGTTCAAACGAAAGGAAACTCCCATTTTTTCGGAGCTGTCTTTTTTCACAATTATAGCGACATATGAGTCTACAGAATTGATCCAAATCATCGCATATGCTTTTTCGTTTGAGGTGATTTTTATTCTTCACATGTTAGCTAGCTAGCTTTGTGGGACCTTCCCCCCTCGAAAAAGTATGACGGGGATTGGATGTATATCCCCTCAGGGAGAAACCTAAAAGCAGCAGCTGCATTCGAATGGGCAGTCTTTCGTGTATCCTCCTTGGCCTGCAAAAAAGGAGTCGAAATTGTGTTCGGTGCGGTGAAGAAAGGCGAAGTAGTAAGGCGAAGCAGTCACAACGCTCGTATGATGAAGCTTACCCATCTTGAGCTCCTCCATAGAATAAATGGGCAACCCATCTGGCGTGCGCGCGCGCTCGGTGACCGTGCCCTTGGCAACCGACCGTTGTGCCTTCTTATGGACCCGATCGGCGTTGTGGATCCTTTTTTCAGAGCTTTTTTTAATAGGTCTCGTCTCGATGGCAACTTTTGTAGCCTTCTTCTCCTTGGCCTTCAGGTTGTTGAAGATGCCTTCGATGCTTTCTTTCGCCTCCAGCTGTTCGTTTTTCTTCCCACTTGAGTCGCTCGCCCGGCGCTTATTTTTTTTCCTTTTCCCCTTTCGCGAGCTGTTAGAGTTGCTCAAATTATTGGCGCCTCCAGAATTTTCCCCATTTTTGGCATTTTTCCACTCCTTGTTCGTTTTGCCGCCATCTTCGCTTGGGGACGAAGCGGGTGCCCTATTCTCCTTATTTTCGTTATCTCCCATTTGGCTATATGTTTTTTTTTTTTTTTTAAATACAATCATGCGGCAAGTGTTACTCTATTCCTCACAACATTTTGCAACATCGTGAAGAAGGGAATATTCCGTTGTGACGTGTTTCGTTTTTATAGCGAGCTGCTAACATGTATCGGGATTTTTTTTTTTTTTATTTCCCCGTTTTTTCTTTTACTTTGCCTGATGCGAAGGTATATGTATACTTAAACGCGTATCAGAAGGAGTGCGTTCTTTTTTTTTTCTCCCATTTTTTAGCTACATAAATTTATAATACATTGGCAAATAGGTATATAGGTAGTTGAGGAAGGGGCCCTGTGGACTATTTCTTACTCTTACATTTTTTTTGCACTCACTTTTTCTCATCGGTACGCCGCCGTGGAAAATGTGCCCAGGAAGTCACTCGTTTTTGGATTTAACCAGCACGGGGGAGAAGTCTATGTTTATTCATTTTTTTTTTTTCTAATCCGTGGTTACCACTAGTGTCCTAAGAGCTGCGCGAAAGCCTTTTCCCGTATCTGCGGAACTTTCGGAGTGGAGAACCAACTTGAGTTGCGCGAAGTGTGGGAAAGAGGCGCTCACGTCGAACGGATGAAAAGCAAAAAAAGGTGCCCACGCCACCTGGCGATAAAAGGTTGAATGAATGGGAAGAAATCCTTAAGGGAGCAGCCCCCCTCGCGAGCGATACCATCCCAGAACAAGCGCCTTACTCATCTGTTGGTCCTTTTCGCTAAGACCAGAAAAATGCACTTTTAAGACCAAAAAGTTGCATTTTTTTGAGTTAAAAAAATTTTTTTAAATTAAAAACAAACGAAATATACTGGTGTGGAGTTCCTTCCGGGAGATGTACAAGGTCTTAAATACCAAAAAAAAAAAAAAAAGAAAAAAAAAAATATATGTTTAACAGTTAATTCGGCTGTGTTATGCTGTTTATTTTGCCACGTTGGGGGACCAGTGCAGTCTCTCTGCCGTTCGCTTCACATTTTCAGCCCTTCTTTTTTTTTCTTTTCTTTTTTTTCCTATCACTGGTCTGCGCCGTCGTCCGGCTGCTGCTCTTCCACCTTATCCTCCTGGAAAGCATCGTGCTCATCATCATCCCTTTGCATATTCTTCATTTCTCGCTCCTTATTCCACCTCTCAATTTTTTCCCTCCGCTCGGCACTATTTTCCCGCCTAGGATGTTTATGTCGTCTACTGGTACCGTCGCTGTCTCCATCGGCATCATCACGGTTCCTGCTTCGGTTCCTGCTCCGACTCCTACTCCTATTTCTGCGTCTAGAAGAGTGGTGACTGTCCCCGTATTTATCACGCCTATGTTTGTCCCTACTGCCTCTATCCCTGTGGCTGTCGTAATGTCCGTCCTCCGAAGCATCTCTCGCTTTCCGCCTTTTCTTATATTCTGGAAATTTTTTATACATTCGTTTGTACAGCTTCCGCTTGACAGCCCTGGGGACATGTTTGATATGCATAAAGTTGCAATACCCACCTCTTCGGCATTGCCCATCGACAAACTGCCTGCACCTTGCCTCCCTGAAGTCTGTCACAGGGGTGTACTCAATATGTAACGGCTTCCCTGCATAGAATCTCCCATTCAACTCTTTCACAGCCTTCTCCGCATAATCCTCGTGCGTATATTTTATGTACACATTTCCAATGATGTGATCTCCTATATTGTCACATACAACCATATCTTCAATTTCGCCATACTTCATTAATTCCTCAAAGACTTCTTCGTAAAACTCCTCAAAATGGTCCGCTGCTTTGTCCAACACTTCATCATCCACCATCTGCCCTTCTGCAATTGCAACGGCCATTGGGGGATTGTCGTACATGTGACGGATGACTAACGTTTGGGCACTGTTTGGCTTGTAGTGGCTTCGACTGCACTGATCGCCATGGCGGCACGCACCTATTTTCCAAAAGAAGGGACAGTTAACTCTGTCCTCTTCCGTTCCGATGATCCGTGCGAGATGCTCGGCCATTTTCGCGAGAGGGGGGCATAAAAATGTACGTAATTTAGAAGCAGAAACATATAAGTGTTAACCTATATGTAGGTACGTGCCTACACGTACACGCACGTTTGCATATAAATGTGAACACAATTTTGGCTAGCTGGAAAAGAAGAAAAAAATAGCTAGCTACACCTGCATTTATGCGTTTCCTGCTGAGTTTACCTGCACATTTGCAAGAAAAAAAAAATATATTGCCTGTTCAGGTAAAAAACTAACACAAATGTGAAACACACAAAAGAGAGGCGTCAACTTTACAATGATGTAATTTTGCCCAAATAATTCCTCTACGTGGATGTGTTTGCTGCCACGCCAAAACGTCAAACGTGCCGCCCATTTCAGCAATAAGCGACTGGTTTAGCGGTTGCCTGTGGGTTGGCGTAAAGCTTAAAGTTGGCGTCGCCGTCGTCGACATCTATATCGTAATGGCTATGTTAACGACAAGTGCTTGCCACGACGCTGCGGTTCGCGAACACTTCGCCCTAACGTCCACTTCCATGAAGCACTTTTCCTTTAATGTTCCATGAATACGCCTCTCTTCTTTTAATGTCGTTTGGAGAAAATAAAACTATGTCCGTTCTTAGATGTACGTTTCTTCCTCCAAAAAAGTTTGGGCCACGCGTTGAAATGTATACAATGGAGAAGTGCAGATGTGCCCACTGTGTAATCACGCGTATCTAGGGAACAAACCTGTATGCATATGCATAGGCATAATCACAGGAATAGGCACAATCACAGGGATAGGTATAATGACAGGCATACAGGGGCGAGTTTACGAGTACCGTTTTGCGTACCACTCCGTGTACCCTTTCATGCGCGTGGCGGGCATCTCTGCAGAGAGAGGGACGACTGTGCCTCCTAAAGTTGGCGAAACGGCCAAGGCTTCAAGCAGGCGCGAGGGCATATTATACCACAAGGGCAAAGGGGTACACTGCGCATGGTTAGCACAAACAGGGTAAGTCTGCGGTAGATATGTGGGTACTCACTTGGCCCATGCCTAAATCCGGCTTTGCCACCTCTCGGTCAACCCTCTTAAAGTTTAACGCAACACTTCAGTTAAAGCTGACGAAGAAAAAAGGTGGTAGAGCCGGTCCTCTAACCTGATGTCATGTATGTATCTCACTATATGTCACATGTACAAGCTGAGATGCCTTTTTTTTTTTTTTTGTCCCTTATATGACATTAGGATGCTGAAAGGAAAATTTCGCCAAAGAGTAAAAAATTACATCTTCGTTTAATCACCATTTTGTTGCCCTGAAATAGGGAAAAAAAAAAAAAAAAAAAGAGGG